ACCACCTCTTTAACAAAGGATCTTGTAAATACAAACAGGTAGTGAACAAGGTCATCTGAGAGGGTTTCAGGAGCAGGAAAATGCCAGAAAAGCCCCAGAACGTTTGTAGGGACACAGGAGCTCCAAAAATATCCGTCTCCCAAAGAGACGTAGGTGTGTCTGGGCACAGACGCACACCCAACGCTCTTTGACAGTAAGGTTATAGACAGATGTAACCCACGTGGACAGAATGGTCAGGTGATGTCTTATTGACAATCAGATGGTCTTATTAATGTCCTGCTAAGGGACACCAGTGGGTAGGATCATCTCCTTGGGCATCCCATTGTCACTTAAAAGACCTCTTCCAGGAGGAGGAGAGGTGACAGCGTGGCAGGACACTGGTGGGGAGGTGAGGACACGTATGTCCCTGCAGACTGTGCCGCTGCCCCCGGGTGTCCCCTCTGCCCAAGGCCGTGCAGCCCTGCTCCCCCCTGCCAGCCCGACGCAGGTTTGCACCAGCCTGCATCCCATTTCAGCGGCGAGGATAACAAGAAAGTTCTGTTTTCGGCTGATTTGCAAGAGTGTTGCTATAACTGACGACTACGCTGCTAGCAATGCTGAAAAACAGCCTTTACCAAAAAACTCCTGAGAAAACAGCTGGCCGGTATCTGGAACGGAGAAGGAAGGTGGTGACGGGAATTTAACCAGCCTCGAGGCCTTCAGCTTTTCCCTGCTGCTCCGACAGCGGCTCCAGGGGACCTCCCAGTCAGCTGATGAACCACGAGAAGCGTAGGGCCCTCCTAACTCACAGCCCACCGTCAGGTTTGTCAATTTAATTTTGTTATTTAGTGACTATGGTTTTCCTCTGCCATGAGCAGAATCAGGGCTTTGGTCACCCCTTGTCACCTTCCCCTGGCTTCATCCAGCCCAGGAGCGAGTTTTGGGTAAATACCTACACGTTCCTCGCCGAGCTATACTTAGGGGTAGCCGCTATCATCAGCTTTCCATCTCTGGGAGCCCCACGGTCAGCTCGGTAACCACAACTCTCATTTTTTTGTTTAGTTGGGTAAATCCCTACGCGTCCCTCGCCGAGCTATACTTAGGGGTAGCCGCTATCATCAGCTTTCCATCTCTGGGAGCCCCACGGTCAGCTCGGTAACCACAACTCTCATTTTTTTGTTTAGAAAGATGATAATTCACAAGGACAGTTCTTGCTAGCAGGATATTTCTGAGCTAAAAATAATTCAGTGGTTTGTTTATTCTAAAAGATGCCCGGACCGGGATTTTAATTGTTAATGCCTAAGAGAGTAAGTAAAATCATTTGGCTATTTCTCCGAGGTTGCGAGTTGCTCGAGACCACAGTGAGGTTGTGGCGAGACCTTCTGCCTCCCGCTCCTCAGCTGCAGACCCCCAGCCCTCCCCGCCGGGCAGCATCCACCCCCCAGCCTGCAAACCGCAGAGCGAGAGCCGGGCAGCACCGCCGCAGCTCCTCGCAGCAGCTTCCCAGAAGAATTAGGGCTCGTCTGGGGCATTTTCCCTAAACCTGTCAGGTCCACTCTGTGCTGCTGCTGTCAGCTACTGACCCCCCCCACCCAGTGGTTGTATGGCAATGACAGTGGAAGTATTAAGTTTATAAAGCACTTTGGGAACCTTAGGGATGAAAGGCGCTATTGACACGCAAAACATTTTAAGTAGGTATTAAATAAGCTCTTTCGAGCCTTTTTGGTTAACCATGTTTGGGCAACTGGTCATTTTACATCAACACCTACAACTTTTCAAAAAGGATTCACTTCAGTGTCCAAATAGGGACTCCGTTTGTTTTTTTTCTCCCTGTCTTGCACACACACAGCCATGTTTCTGCTTTTAACTGGCTCACTAATTGCAAAATCTCGCAAGGACTCTATGCTGCAAGCATCAAAGGGCATACAGGCATCCTGCTTGGGAGGAAAAGGTCTGGTCGGATAATTGGGGAGGAAGAATTTCACGTATGTTCCTGTTCCTGTAGTAGTTTCCTATGAGCGTGTAGAAAAGGAGCTGACACAGTAACGCATGGCAGATGTCACATACGGGGTGACAGGAGGGTTCCGGCAGTGCTATTTCACTCTGCACCTTTATTTATGAATCCCCACGTACTGTAAAAACTCCAATTAACCCTCGTACAACGCTGCAGTTGGACTTTACCATTAGGAAAACCGCAGGGGGGCAGGAGCTTGTGCAAAGGCAGGTAAAATCGGTAGCAGGATAGAAAACGGAGCCTTGCCACCCCCTGCCTGGCATCCTCTCCTCTCCCTGCCGCCGTGACCGTGCACCCGCTGTCCCAGGGAGGTGACAATTCGCTGTCACATTGCTGTCCATCCTGCTAGTAACCTGGGTTGGTAAAATCTGACGACGACAGAAGACTACCCACTGCCGCCACTACAACCACGCTCAAAAAAGCAGCAGAGCAGCCGAACCCTGCAATATGGGGGTGTCTGTGACGCGCGCCCAAAGTGCAGACCCCCAGCCCGGTACTTCATATTCCCCCCAAAACAAACCCAAACTCCCAGAGCCCCTCCTGCCTTCATGTGCTAACCGCAGAGCCGGCTCTTTGCTGCTTTTTTACGGTTACATTCCTCGTATGTCTCACTAAATACACATACTATAATTACTTTTCGCTGTAGATTTATGAGCAAGCTTTACTAGTCATTATTAGATTTGCTCGCTGTTTTGAATGACATCTCAAGCCTTTATGAGCACGCCGGTTCGTTAGCGTCTGGCCTCGCGGGCTTTGCCAAGACAGCCTTGCCCAACGATGTTCACGCTGCTCTTTAGCTGCATCCGCCGCCTCATCGCTCTTGCTCAACGCTTGCAGGGCTGGGGTGGAAACTTGTCTTTTCAAGTGGGCATTTGCTGCTGCACAATAGCAGCAGAACAGGCTCTGCCCCTCCCTCCGAGCAAACAGAACCCCTCCCGGCAAAGCGCAGCACCGCAGCCACATCCCCCCTCCCCACAGCTGCAATTTTTCGGAAGCTTATTTCGCAGCCCTGGGCAGCAGAGGGGCCGGGAGATGCAAAAGCCCACAAAGGGGAATTAAGCACCTTTGGGCAGAAAAGCACCCTACCTTGTGATTCTGGTAGGAGGTCACCGATATAAAGGACGTCTCCGGAAAAACGTGGGTGCAGAAGGCTGTGTTCTTCGACCCGAAAGCGTTGTTCTCATCCGCCTTCACAATATGCAGCCGCGGTTGGTATTTATGCATTGAATTAAGAATGATCTGAAAAACAATTGATGCTAAAGTGAAAAAAACAACTTAAAAAAAAAAAAAAAAGACAAGCCATAGCTATTCGGCAGACTTTACTAGCAGGACGCGGAAGCCCACTAGTGCTCAGCTTTAGCTTTGCTTTCAAATTAGAGGGGAAAATTACATTATATAAGTGCACATGAACCAAGACAGAAAAGGTATCTGCTGCTCTGGCAAGCAGAACTGAACTTAAAGCTTTCCTGGTAAACCCACATTTTCTTATTGCTATTGGATAGAGTCAGTCCGGGTGGAAAAAAAAAAGTCATAAATTTTTTTCCCAGCTCATGCTGAAGCTGTACAATATATATAATTCACCAGCAGACTGGTCCATAAAGATTCCTAATAAATACTTTACTGAGCTGAAAAATACACAGTTTAGCAGAGGCAAAAAAAAAAATCACACAAACCACACGGGGCGGGGGGGAAAGAAAAAAGCAAGCAAGCTATTTTTCTTTTATCTACTGGTAAAAGAAAACTATAAAAGAGGCGATTTATTTTTTCCCCTCCTATTTGTGGAGCGGCTCCGTGCGGGTGGCTGTGTCCAGGCACCTCTGGCGGTCACTCGCCAGGTTCTGCCCTCTCCTCGGTCCCTGCGAGCGAGAGGAGCCGTCCCAGCGCTGTTTTACGGCGGGGGCCGGGGGAGGCGAGGAAGGGCTGTGGTCCGGCGGGGATGGCGCAGCCCGGGCTCAGGCCAGCGCAGGGCTCCTCCGATGGAGCATTAGGGGCCAAGCGGGGCTACCCAAGCCGGGGGCGGCTGGCCCAAGCCCCGGCTGTACCGCCTGGCCCTGCAGCATTGTTCTTCCACAAAGAAGGGATGTGCCCAGATGCTACAGAAGAAAATGGTTTTAAGAAATCGAATTTCTTTTAAGCAATTGAATGGGTTTAAGAAAATCCTTTATCCCTTTTACTGGGCAAAGAAGAAATACTGCTTTCTTCTTGTTTTCTTGGCATAACCCCTTTCAGTCTCTTATTCCCTCTCCCAAATTGGCTGATTGAGTCTGCCCTTCCCAAGCTCGGCTGGTCCTAGAGGTGAGGGCATCTCCAGCCAGGCTGACACCCTTCTGCTTACTGGGGTGCCCAAAGCCGCCTGCGAGGACACATCCAGCCCCGAGGGAGGCACAGGCAAAGGGCCAAGTAGGGAAGACCGCAATGGTTGCTGTCTTCAGTTGGTGGTAGTTAAATGGGTGGGTAGATGGATGGATGGATGGATAGGTAGATGGATGGATGGATGGATGGATGGGTGGGTGGGTGGATGGGTGGATGAATGGGCAGATGGACATATGCAATGCAGCAGAGGAGCATCAGTTTACACTAATTGTGGATTTAGCCAATTTTAAATGAGAATTATCAAGAAACAGAAGACATTTGCTCCGTGTTTGGCGTTTGTGCTCAGGAGCCCTTTCTATTTCGTGCCCGTCCATGCTGAGGAGCGCTCGCGGCGGCAGCAGCGCTGCTCTGTGCGCTCCAGCTGGGGCGGGAGGCAGTGTCGGGAGCTCGTGCTCTTTAAACCCCTTCGTCTGGCCGCACGTAACTCTGCCCACAGTAGCTGGCTGCATTATATACCACTTAAATGCAATTTTTATTGTTGACATTTTCCAGACAACCCTCCCTGCTCCCCAAGAGAGAGAATGAGGAATTTTTGGCATTTTATCAGCTTTGCATCAAGTCTCTTAACCACTTTGCGGCTGTTGATGTGCAGGGTGTAGATCTGAGAGGGTCGGCTCAGGTTTGGGTTTGGAGCCTTTTCTCTGCTTTCATGTATCAGCCACTCGTAAAACAAAGCCAAGATGAATAGCGCCAGAAGGCCAAGACTTTCATAAGAAGGGACATTTTAATTTTCAATAATTAAGAGTTGAGCCAAGCTGATAAAGAATGACTGTCTGGAGCAGAAGCTGGGGTGTGCTAAGGTCTCCTCACCGCCTCTCCCTGCCTGCCCAGGTCTACCAAGGACAGGAGACTCATCCCCAGAGCCAGAGCAAGTCAACAACAAGCCGAAGAAAACAATCTTATACTGAAATTTCCAAAGGGAAGATTAGGAGCCCAAGTTTCAGTACGCTCTGGATGGATAGTCTGTATTGCAGTACCCTCTGGGCTACAATGACCCCCTTAAAAAACGTTATCCTTTTTTTTTTTTTAATAACCTCTTTATACCCAAAGTGTCCAAACAATTTTCAAAATGAACAAGACATTACTTTTTGGAGCCTGATAGAAGCATGCAGGAAAGGATTTTTGACAGATGCTCGAGGTTACAGTTGTGGCTGCAAACCTGCTTGATATCTGTGAGATGTTTGGGGGGATCCCCTGCATCTACAAGGTTGGGCATTTCTGTCCCTTGCGCTGAAGCAACTGTTTGCCCACATGTCCCAGCGTAAGTACCCATCGGAAAGTGCCAAATTTCTTCGAGTGCGGTGACCATGAAAGGAAACCCCCTTGAGATGTGCCAGATCAAAGCCGAACAGCCATCACTGAGTGCGTAACGTGATTAATAGATGTGAGAGCCACAGAGCACTGAGGTTAACTTCATCGAGTCAGTGTCCACGGACACGGATGGGGAACAGCTTCCAGCAAAAGCAAAGCCCCATAAAAATACGCCATTCTCATATGACAAAGAAAAATCCCTTCGGCTATTTGGCAGAGCGGTCAGCACATCAGATTGCGGATGAAAACGGGACGTCTTGGTGTTCTTTCAGATTTCGGATGCCTCCCTGTGCCTGCTGCGGTGATTTCTCACATCTTTTTCGGGAGGCAGCAACCACCATCCACATACGCACAACCGATGTTTCACAGGCTTGAAAACAAGAACTCATGTACAGAGGCTGTGTCTGCTCACCCATCCTCCTCACTTGTGCTTGGTGTGAGCCTTCTGCACTCAAAAACTCTACAAATCATTCAAAAAAAAAAAAAAAGCCTCCCGACCCTTCGCTGCAAAACACTGTGCCTGTGCAAAGTGAAATGCCAACAATTCAGGCTAAATAGTTTTCAAGGCTGCTGTGGAAAACTGGTCGCTGGCTAAAAATACACAAAACAAATGTAAATTCCACTCCGATGACGAACATCAGTGGAAAGATTAACTTAAAGAATTGTGTCAAAAATGAGAAGTATTTTAATTGAGGGGACAGAGCACGGCTGCTGCTGGTCGGCACTGGGCAGGCAGGGCTTCAGCAGCAGCTCTGGGCAGGACAGAAGGTGATGTAGGAGCTCTCAGCCTCAAAGATGATGCTAAAACAATAACTTTATATTTTCCTGCACTTATCTTTTTCATCGTGAGGGCACGGGGAGGTTAAGTCGGTGTCAGACTCTGTCACACGCATTTTTAAATTGTTTCTGGTACAAAGCGTAGGTAGTTTGAAATAGGTTAGCTGCTAAAAAAGAAATTATGTTTCCCTTGTCTTGCCACTGAAAAACACGGCTGGTTTGTTGGTTAGAGGGGAATTTTAACATGATAAAGGACAAGGATAAAAAAATAGCATGGGAAACTGGAAAACAGTGTTTCTTGAGCAGCACTGAGGCACAGTGGCTTAGTAACTGAAAGCCTCTCTGCAACTTGGTGATCTTGTCTGTTTGCCTACGAAAGAAACAGCTCAGTTTACATGAAACAGCGGCGTTTAGCAATCTAATAAATACAATTCTTTTTTCTGTATTAAAGAAGAAAAAAAAAAAGAAAAAAACAACAGGTAAATCAAACAGACATTCCAACCACACTCCTCAAATTAGATAGACAGCCCCAAATTTAGGAAGTGGATCTTGGCTCGACATCCCGACACAGGCCTCCGTGGGGATGCCACCTCCCGCCACCGCCCCCCAAGCACTCTCTCTGCCTGGAAAACACGCGGCTGCTAAAATATACCCATGTGGGTGATGACAACCTTCCTTAAGAGCAGCCGCGGGGATGGCACCAAAAGGCTGCAATGAAGCACCTGCACTGCTGCGGGGACCCAACCGCGGGGACCCTCCTCAGGCTGCGCCGGGCGAGACCCCAACGGCTCCGCTTGTATTTCAGAACCATTTCACGCCTCTCGCCCCCCAAGGCGGTCACCGTGCTGCACAGGCTGACGCATGCCTGGGTGCCCCCCCCCAAACCCGCACACCCCCCGGCGCCGCCGTAACTCCGTTAGTGCTGGCCAGAGAGGAGCCAAAGCGGATCTCGAGGGTGATGTCACTTCTACCCCCTCAACGTCGCACGTGCGGACCAGATTGCGAGAGAGAGACGAACTCCAAAGTCAAATGTGAGCTTACACAAACATCTTTTTTTTTTTTTTTTTTTTTTTTTTTCCCCGTCTCCCTCCCCGTCTCCCTCCTTTGTGCTGATCACACAGTTGGCAGCTGGAACTTAAGCTGTAATATAGCTCCACCACTTTATTTTTTTGGCATTCCCCAGTCAGCAACAAATGTCAAAAAAAAAATGGTGTCATTTGCTCCTTCCATTTAATTTTACTTAGGAAAACATACTCCTTTAGCATCTAATCTCGCACACTGCTGAGTAATGTCGGCTTCAGGGCTTGAAGACATTTGCCAGCTTGCAGGATCGGGCCCAGAGGCCGGAGGCTTAGCGGGGGAACGGTGCCGCATTGCTTGTCGCAATGCAAACTTGCCTTGAAATCACCAGTAAAATGTATTTACTTTCATATGAAATTTGGGGAGTTGATTTAAGAGCGCTCCCTGTTTCGCCAAGGTATCAAATGTCATACGATGCAGTGGTTGTTATGGCAACTACCCTTTTTATATTGAATAGTAAATGGCTACGAAAAAGCCACATAATTTTATGGTTGCTCCCGGGGGATCACATAACTAATATAAAATCTCTCATTTTAATATATTTTCTGCTTCTTTCTTCCTTCCTTCTATTCTTTCAAAGTGAAAAAGCCTTTGAGCGGAGGCTGGCCCTCGTCCCACACCAGGACACTGAGCGGGGGCGCAAAGGGACCAGAACAAAAACCTGACAATTCACTCTCCGGCCTGGAAAAAAGAGCACG